AGTCAAAATTGTTTCTATCACTTCTTCAGGCATGAATTCTTCCCCATCTATAGATTTGAAAGTTAATTTCTTCCTTGCTCCTTTAATCTTTCTTTCTTTCCTTGTTCTCTACTTCTACCCCCTTCCCCTCATTTTTACAATCTACTTTTCCATTCCTGGAATGTGTTGTTTCTTGTTCTTTGTCTCTCAGAATTCTCATCATCCTTCAAAGCTCAGTTCAAGTACCATGTCCTGCTTGACAGCTTCCCTCATCCTTTCAATGACGATTAGTTTCACCCTGCTCAAATTATCTTGTATTATGCTTATCTATGAGTATATTCCCAATAGAATATAAGCTCACCAAGGGTAGAGGATGTCTTGTTTTTGTATCCCCAACACTTAGCACAATGGCTTAGGCATGAGATACATGTTCACAGTATCACAGATTTAGAACTGGAAGGGACCTTTGAGATCTTCTAGGTCAACTCCCTTATTTTACAGATGAGGAAACTGAGGCTGAGAGAGAAATGAGTTGGCCAAAGTCTCACAGGTAGTGAAAGGGATAGCTAGAAATAAAACTCAAATTCTCTGACTCCAAATTTCACTACACCACACTGGTAAATTTTGTTGTTTTTTAGATCCATAATTAAATTGATAGAATGAACTCTTGGTGAGTAAAGTCTTTTACTGATGCAGATTAATAGCTGTTCTGCAACTTATAGTCTTGTTATTTATCTTTTTGTTCTCGAAGAGGACCAATGACATCAGGAGGGTGATGTCTTGACTTGTGAGTGAACTGGATTTCAGTGAGGTAGAGCTATGCAAAGTTGTCAGCCTCACTCTGTCCTCCAGTTATTGGAGTCCAATGGCAAGACATAGATCAGGACTACTAGTGATTCCCCCCCCCCCTTATGGTCTTAAGAGAGTAAGTTGAGTTGTGACTTGTAGGATTTGAACTCTGGTCTTTCTGACTCAAAGGCCAGCTACTGATACCCAACATACCTGATGTAGCCTTTCTACACTAATTGAATTGAATTAGTTCGGTCTTTGGAATAGCCATAAAATGTTCTTCCTCATAAGGTCTATGGCTTCATCTCTTGGAAAAAGGAATTACCATATCATTTTAATACAAGCAGGGCAGAAGTCCTTAGAATTGCACTGAGGCTGTGTTATAATGTATATATGGTGACAATTTTCAACTAAAGAGATATTTCGCAACTTTAATGTCCAACTTCATGGTAAATTCAGATATTCCCATACATCCCATTTTATTGTTAGTCAAAGAATCCATTAGAGAAACCATTTCTCTTTTCTTCTCTAAAAACGAATACTGACCCCTTCATTTTCCCTGCTGCCAAAGAAAATGAGCATTACCTCTCAAATTCTGGGTTGAACTCCCAAAGCCCTCCCATAATTCAGGGATAGGTAAAACATGGACTTCAGCCTGTCTGTATGGCATTTGCAGTTTATTCCCTAAGCAGCGTGAATAATGACATTGTCTAGGTCAGTAACATATCACCCCGGTGCTTACAATGGCATGTGGTGGAGGATGGCTTGTTTTTCTCATTCTAGGAATCCATTTACATGACTACCTAGCTCTCCAAATCTCATTACCCACATTCCTTACTGGACACACATGTGAACGAGAAACCCATCTCTAGCATTAACTACCTGTCTAACCTCAAACAAGTCAATTCCTCTGTCCTGGCCTCAGTTTCCTCATATTAAAATGAGGGAGTTGTCCTATATTGCTTCTGAAGTCCCTGCCATCTCAATCTAGCATCCTGTGATTCTAATGAATGCTTTCCAATTCAATCCAACTAGGTGGTGAAGTAGGTAGAGCACTGGGGTTGGAATTGGGAAGACTCATCTTCTTGAGTTCAAATCTGGCCTCACACACTCACTAGCTGTGTGATCTTGGGCAAGTCACTTAACCCTGTTTGCCTCAGTTTCCTCATCTGTAAAATGAGCTGGAGAAGGAAATGGCAAACTACTCCAGTATCTTTGCCAAGAAAAACCCCAAGTTGGGGTCACCAAGAGTCAGACATGATTGAAAAAAAATTAAACAATAATTTAATTCAAATGAATCTAACAAGCTTTATTAATCATCTACTATGTGGAAATTGTGATGATGGAAGAGGAGGAAGATGATGATAAAGAAAGGTAGGATGGTTACAAATAGATAGAGAGCAACTTTTTTCAGAAAAAGTTGAGATCAAATCCTTGTTCTGGACTTTCTCCATTATGCAATAGCAGTCTTCTTAAGAAGGAAGTTCACTCTGCTCCTGTGATCACCTCTCTGATAGATTACTTCTTCCCAGAACCTTTATTTTAAGGACAGTGCCTAAGCCAGCCATGTTTACATTCACACACACACACACACACACACACACACAACCACACACACACACACATCTCTACATAAAACACAGAATTTATTTAGTGCTTTATAGCCCAAACCTGTGATGTCAGTGTCATAAGGAGCTCCTGGATAAGGAAACTTCCTCTACCAATGCAGGCTAGCATCTCTGCAGTTAATACCCTAGCCTTGAGCATTGAGTGGTTATGTGACTTGCCCAGAGTTGTACAGTCAGTATGTGTCAGAGGCAGGACTTGAACCCAGGGCTTCCTGGACTAGCTCTCTAGCCACATGGTATTTGGACGTTCCATTTACCAACGAAATTGCAGCTCTAATCCCTCCCCCTATAGCAAGGCTTTCAAAGTGCTTTTGCTGCCCTAAGGGAACACTTCTACTGGAACACACAGCACGTAAACAGGGAAGAGAACCCTATGAGCTCTTTTCTTGTCTTTATGCCTTGGCCCTAAGAGAAAGGAAAGGGCTTTCTTGTCAGGGACACCACTTTCCGCTTTCCTTTAAGACTCACTTCTAGGGGCCCCTTCTGCATGAGACCTTTCCTGCCCCCTCCCCTCAAACCCCCAACTCATGATGCTTCAGCCCCCAAGCTTTGGATTTGTTTGGGAAATATCTACAGATAGAGACAGTGTCTCCTTCTTTAGAATGGTAGTGACTAGTGAGAGTGAAGGAAAAGGAGTACAAAGGAAGAAGGAGCCCTTCCCTAGGAACCTGGGTGTGCTCAAGGCCCATAATGTGCATGAAGTTGTATTATCACCTGTCAACAAGCTCAAATTTTGAATAGCCATGTCAGTTGTTGACTCATCTGCAAGTGCAGCCAGCCAGCCACAAGTCCACAAGACACCCACATGTGTTGTCAAGTGTAGGAATTTGCTCTCATAAAACTTGTTTACTCTGGTAGTTGAAATTCCAGAGACATATTCCTTGCATGGAATATGCTTAAAATGACTTCTTTTTGAAAAAGGAAAACAAAAACAAAGCTCTCTTATGGGCATTTTTTATTCAGTCATCATCCATCAATCAAAAGCTATTTGTGAAGTCCTGACTATGTGCCTGCTGTAGGTAATGGAGACAGAGGGACAAAAATGAAACAGCCCCTGCCTTCAAGGACTTTACATTCTCTGACTTCTCTTGGGATGGACTGTGTCATTATTAGAATATCTCTTACGTAGCACTTCATACACTCCATTCTTCATTTATTAATTTATAGCCCAGATCAGCTAGGTATCAAAGAGGATAAAGCACTGGGCCTAGAGTCAGGAAAACATGAGTTGAAATTCTGCTTCAGACACTTAATAGCTGTGTGGCCATGGACAAGTCACTTAAATCTGTTTGCCTCAGGTTCTTCAATTGTAAAATAAGGATCATAGCAGCACCTATCCCTCAGGGTTATTGTGAGGATCAAATAAAATAATACCTGAAAATAATATTTGTAAAGGGCTTAGCACATAGTAGGTGCTTATATAAATGTTTATTCTATTCCCTCCAAGCAGTTTTGCACCCAAGTACAAGGAATGCATTCATTCAACCAACAAACCTTACTAAATGATTACTGTGTATTAAATCTGGTGCTATACTCTCAACCATTCTACTCAAATGCAATTTCACTTTCCCCCAAATACCAGCTCTCCCATAACTGTGAAACCTTCTTAACCAGTAGTGCTGGAGCCTCAAAGACTTTGATTCTCTAACATGGAAATGGAATTTACAAAAACATTCCCTTCTGTCTCTCTTCCAAAAATGGGTTTAAGATGCTCAACAATGAGAGAAATGTCAGAAGAGAAAATGCCCTTTTGACTCCTTTCCCTTTTTCAATCCACTCCCCACCCCCACCCCCAAATTACTTAACAAAGAGGAAAGGGAGAATGGGAGATGTTTTCACTGGGACTCAGCCAGCTACAGGAAGGAAATATTACAATAGGCAGTTGTATTCTCCTGTATAGGTGCCCAAATATCATATAATTGTCAATTGTAGTTCGTTAGCTATGTTGGCCCCAATCTGTACAGATTTTCAGGTACCAACCAATGCCTCAGAGTGCTTGAACAGGCTAATTCCTATTAAGAGAAAGACTGATAATCAGGCTCCTGATGTCAGGAAAATTTGTCTTTCTTGCCAAAGGGAGGGAAAAAAAATGATGTCCTCTCTGATGCCTATAGAATGAAAGCCATACTGTCTGACACCTACAAAATTAAGGCTAAGTGCTTGCAAATTTCCAAGGGCAGAGTTTGAATAGAAACCAGAAGTCTGCCAAACTCCAGTAAAGAAGGGAAAACTTACCCTAGGAAGAAGCCTTCCCGCCAGAGTTTCAATGAATGATAATTATTCTCAAGCCTGATTAATATGTCATCAGGACTTCACTGGCTATTCACAGCACTGGGTAGAGATTCTATTTTCCAATAGTGATAATTGGGCATGTTTTGTTATTCTACCCCAGATGGTCCCATTTTCCATTCAACCTTTAAGTGATCTCATATTAATGCAAATGTTATATCTTAAGCAGAAAGACTACAGGACTCAACCTGGTTTTCTTTGGAAGAAGATGAATAATAAGCAGGAATTCCACCCCCTCCCACCATATTTAAAGTTCATAGGATTTACATAATGAAATTAATGAACACAGTGAAATTAACAAGCAGAGTACTTTACCTTATGCACACAGGACTTTGCATTCAGAAAAAAGAGTTCCACTGTTGTTTTGTCCTTCAGAAATGATATGCTCTCAATGTAAAACCTGAATGAGAACAAAGTAAGTTCACTTTCTTAAATCAAACTTCCTTCTACCATCACATCATTTCCTTATTTATTACACCCCACCCCCACACCAACCCCCTGCAGAGGAGGAATTCAGAAGAATTGCAGTCATTGACTTTCTTTTCTTGATTATTATCATTTAAAAAAAAATGGGATAAGGGCTCTAACATGAAGTGTATTTGCTGCCTGATGCCATTTATTTCACAACATTCATGTCTGTGAGGGACTTACCATGTACCCACATAACGTTAAGTTGGTTCTTACCCTGTAGGGCTGTGCTTGTGATTTCATTAGAATAGGGAACGCTCCACAAGGAAACTCCCAGTAGAAAATTAGTCTGCACATTCTTTGAAATTTATAGTCCAGAGCACAGAGAGGTGAAATGATATGCCTGGGGTCACACAGCCAAAGTGTGCTAGAGGAAACCCAGGTTTTCCTGGCTCTGAGACCAGGTCTCAATGCACTAGGCACATTGCCTCTCTCTTACTCTTTAAGACTTTTGCTGAGTAAGAACTTCATAATCAGACCCTGAGGCAGTCCATTGAAATTTGTTTTTCTGACTCCAGGTGGGGTTTAAGGCCCCAGGCTTACCCAGTCAATCCCTCTCCTTTAGAGGCAGCCGGGGCTTTCCCTTGGCCAGAAGCCAAGACTGGCCTATAAATGCAACTCTGGTCTTTTCTCATGCAAATCAATGTATTTCTGGTCTCTCATTCTCTCTGCCCTGCTTTTGACAGCGAAATCTGTGAGATTACATTGAGCAGGTCTTGTTTGCTCTGACATTTCCTTCTGTGTAGCACTGAGGCCTTGGGGACTGCCTATTTTTGTCAATGGAGATGATAAAGCTGGTTGGTGGAGGCAGGTTCTTTTTGGAGGCTGAGTGGCAAAGCTTTGGTTCCCAAGTGGTCTTCAAGTGTTTGTGCCTGGCCTTATAAATAATACATTTGATGATTGAGTGGCAGGGCTCATCTAGGGGTCTGGGAAGAGTGCTTCACTGTCAAATTGGTGTGAGTCTTGAGAAACCAGGGCTCAAGTGGCAGGCAGAGGCCCTGTTTGGCTGGCATTACGGTGGTGTGATACTGGCCATGTCTCAGTGGGTTTTCTTGACAGAGGTGGACCCCTTAAAAGAAGGGTAGAGAATTGAAAATGGTTTGGAGAGCTTGTCCGTAAGGAAACAGTAGGCTTTCATTTTTGCCTTTGAATCCCCAGTGCATAGCATGGTACCTGACATATGTTATTCAATCAGCATATATTTATTAAGTACCTACTCTGTGCTGGGCATCCTGCTGTGGACACAAAAACAAAGGATAAAACAATCTCAACTTGCAAGGCATTTTCATTTTAATGGGGCTGATGACAAATACATTTATTTTACGGATTTTTATGTCTCCCCCTTTTAAAATGTAAGCTCCTTGAAGGTAGGGACTGCTTGTTTTAACTTGGATTTGTATCTGTAGAATAGCCTCTGACACAGAGCAAGTGTTTAATAGATGCTTGTTGACTTGACCTGATACATAAATACATAAAATGAATGAATAAAAAAAAAGTCCAAGATAGTTTGGGAAAAAGGGTTCTGGCACTTAAGTGCGATTAGGAAAAGTGATGTGTGCCCTGAATCCTAAAGGAAGACAGGGATTCTGAGGCAGAGGTATGGAGCAACAGCGTTAAAAGAATTTGGGAATTCAATCACAGATATATTGAGGCGGGCTATGGAATGCCATGTCTGTGTGAGGAACAGAGAGTAGAGGCTTAAATTCCTACTGAGAGCTTGAATGTAGCCGTGTGTACAAATTCATGGCCTTATAGAAGATCTTCCCCCATAAGAGTGAGAGATCAAGGCAAGTACAGGATACAAGAGACCATAGACTTTCTACATGTACTTTTGTGGATCTGAGAAAGGGAACTAACTTGGGAGGAGAGGCATAGGTTTCAGAGAAGTGAAAGATTTCACTTGTGAAATGCCAAACCTCAAGGAAGAGGGTTGGTGGAAGCGGGCAGGTTGGAGCAGGATCTGAATAACCAAGAGAGAATCTTAGCTGGAGATCTGGAAAAGACCGGAGACCACATGGTCCAACTTCCTCAATTTTACAGTTGAGGAAACTGAGGCCCAGGGCATTTAAGTGACTTGTGCAAGGTCATATAAGGTGAATCATCAAAGAAGTAGGATTTGAATCCAGGTCTTAGAAGAGGTTGTTTCAGGTACTTGGAAGAATGAGGGCAAAGAATAATAAGAACTCACATTTCTATTTCACTTCAAAGATTGCAAACTCTGTAAGGCAGATATTTCAAGTATTATTATCATGGCCACTTTATAGACCAGGAAGAAGAGTCTCAAAGAGGTATGAAGTGATTCATCCAAAGTCATTCTACTTGTCTCAGTGCTAGGATTTGAACCCTGGTCTCATCTAACTCCTTATAGTAAGTTCTATACTCTTATTACTGTATTAGAAAAGTGCTGAGGGGGCAGCTAGGTGGGGCAGTGCATAGAGTATGGGCTCTGGAGTCAGGAGGACCTGAGCTCAAATCTGGCCTCAGACAGACACATAACACTCACTAGCTGCGGGACCCTGGGCAAGTCGCTTAACCTGATTGCCTAGACAAAAAAAAAGTGCTGGATATGGAGGCACAGGATCTTCTGCTTCTTGTTATCTGACATTGGGCAAGTCAACAAGTCTGACACGGGGCAAGGCCCCTGTCTGGGTCTCAGTTTCATCATCTGTAAAATGAGAGAATTGGACTAGATGAACTCAAGGTCAAGCTAAGAAGATGGCTCCTATGCTGTGGCGATAAGCATACTTAAGTAAAGGCTAATGAATTTTGATAGTGGTGAAGTCAGAAACGGTGATCATTTATTTGGCTACTCTTCTAAGAGCCCAGCGTGTTTTTCTGCGGAAACCAGAAGTTTGATTGGGGGTTTTAACCCCAGGGTGAGGGGATGTGACTTGTAAGTGGAGAAGTGGTTACCCTGGGTGCACTTTGAAGAGGGGTCATTGGGATGGAAGGAAGAAAAAATATGCCCTTTCTGCTGAAGCCCGATAATTTGTGAATTATCTCACCCACTACAAACTGAAAACAAATAATATAACATACATAAAATTAAGGAAATCAACTTCTGGTCCTCAGTTGACATGGCAGTCTTACCTTCTTTTTACTATTATTATTAAAATGAGCATAATAATGCTTACAATTTCTACTTCACAGAGCTGTCATGAGGAAAGTGCTCTGTAAATCTTAAAGCATGATAAATAAGAAAATTGTTATTATTAGGGGTCACTAGGTGGCATGGTGGTGACAGCTCTGGACTTTGTGTCAGGAAGAACTGAGTTCAAATTCTACCTCAGATGCTTACTGTATGATTCTGGGCAAGTTGCTTAACCTCTGTCTACCTTAGTTTCCCCAAGGCATATTAATAACAACTACCTCTGAGCATTGTGAAGATACAATGAGATAATAAAGCACTTTTGCAGAAGTGCTATATAAATGCTAGCAATTTTTTCAAGTCATCATCATCATCATCATCATTTTGTGGCAATGCTGAAGCCCAGAGAGATGAAGTGATTAGTCAAGGCCACATAGTGAGTTAGTGGCAAAGTTCTCTTGACTGTCAGGAGGGTTGAGCTTAGATGGGTCAGGAGAACCTGGTTTGAAGCTCTGAAAGTCAGTGTGGCTCATATAATTCAGCAATCTGATCCTTCATTTCCTCCACTATAAAAAAGGGATAATAATAATAAACATTTATGTGACACTTTAACATTTGCAAAAAGCTACATTATCATTAGATCCTGAGGAAAGTTTTATTATGTGGTGCTATTATCACCCCCATTGGACATATGAGTAAATGAAGGATTTGGGAAGATTTCTTAGCAGGAAAGCCAACCCTACACCTACCCCTAACCTGAGTTCAAATCCAGCCTCACACATTTGTGTGACAGTGGGCAGATCTTAATCTCAGTTTCTCTATTTGTGTTTATAGTATTTGTGAAGTGCTTAGTATAGCGCCCGGCACATAGACATTATTATTCTTGTATCTATACTATTTTAGGAGAGAAATGATTTTTCTCATATTAATAATCAATTATTGAATTAAAACTAAGGTTTTTTTTTCCCCTTCCTATTTCCTCATTCAGAAATCTGTCCCTTGTAGGTTATTTAGCCAACATCTGAAGGACATGCTGGTAATAATATTGCATTAACTTTCTCCTCAATCTTGTTCAGCCCTTACCCAAATGGGGAAACCCATTGTGTTCTACTCAGGCTTGGGAGTGGGTGGGGTGCAGATCCTTGTCTAGATTGCACAGGGCTGGGGGTGTTGGCGGTCCGGAGTAGGAGTGACATAATCAGTCACATCCCCAAACCTCATTAGAATATGCTCACCTCTCATTATAATAGTCATTCTCTCATTAACTGTTAACCAATCAGAGTTGATTGCTACCTGTCAGGAACACTCATTCTTTCAAAAGCATATAAGCATCAGTAGGATTTGTCTTTTGCTTATGAGAGACCAAAGACAGCTAAATGAACATCCTTTTTATTAATTATTTGCTAGCCATAATTAATAAAATGATTAATTACCCAGAAATGATGTCTCTCAAACTTTTTATATATCATACTCACAGGATTCTTGTCTGAAGAACTCCTTTGTAAACTCTTATAGCATTATATAAACATACAGGGTGGAGGTAAATGAAGCAATCAATTGCCCCCACCCCACTTAAAAGTACTACCAAGATGCTCTGGTTGGGGGATGTGCAAGTAAGAGAGGGTTCCTAACTCCCAGATGCTTGTGCTGACACGAGTCTGCTGGTGTGTACTGGTGTTCAGTCACTGTAGATGTTGAGGGACTTGTCCGGAGGAAAACAGCTTCTTCAAGGTGCTTCTCATGTTGCTATAGTTCCTTATGCATTCTTTAAAGAACTAGCTACAGCAGCTAGGTAACTAGAGTGTTAGACTTGGAGTCAGAAAGACTTGTGTTTGAATTCTGCC